CGGCCCGGAGACTAGACCCTAACTCGCAGCTTGCCACACATATCGGAGAGAACGGCCACGACTTCGATATTCAAGGAACGACCATCGTAGGCCGAGGAGCCTCAAAAAGCTGAAAGATTGACGCTTGAGGCATGGTACTCAGACGCCAATTCTCTCAACAGGCATCTGGACCTCCCTGCGGCCTACAAAGTCCTGCGCCATTACGTAAGTAAAGGACAGGGCACGGTCAAACCGAGGTCAGGATTAGCAGACGAAGACGGCCCTGCGACGAAACCACCGGAAGAGGGAGCAGGATTACCCGCATCCTCTGCCGTAGGGACAGAACAGACCAAGCCAAGCCAAAATCCACACGCAAGGCCAGACAGCAAACGGAGAAAAATCGATCAGCCCAAGGCCAACATGTACAGCCGCAACTTTAAAATGCTGATCGATAAAATTCAGTATTCGCTTTGACAAAGGACAGCAAGCCCATCTGTCCGAAACGTCAGCAAATCTTCAAATTTATTCCGGTGAGCAGAAGATGAATTATAACAATTACAATAGTCGCACCTTAAGCTTGGTCTTTGAGCGTCAACGCAAGCTTCTCCATCGAAAACCTTAGCAATCCCTGAAGATCCCTACTGAAATGTAGGCTGTGCTCTTGTTCTTGTTCTCGCTCCCGTTTCCTCCTCCTTTGCTCTCCTTTTTCCCGCGCCCTCCGCCTCTCTACCTTCGTCCTTTTCGTGCAAACCCTGCTCTACAATGCTCATCTCCGACTTTTTTTCCTTTTCAGCGCTGCACCCTTCCCACCTCAGACTACCGACCAGTTAGGCGGTGGCCTGTTGCTGGCAGCGGGAAGAGAGTGAGATCGACCCCCAGCGCATTCTTTCCTCACTTAAAACTCTCTGGTGCACTTGAAGCTATCGCGGTGCAATAAAAGCCAAGACTTGCAGAGTTGCCAACTGACGGGATAACTTGGGCACTGCAGTCGGCCCGTTGTGTTTTTTTGTGTGGAATGGCTAACTGCGGGTTGAGATCCAGGCTCAATGGCTCCTTTCTAAATGTCGCCTTTATGGCGCTGCCAATCGGAAGCCTATCTAGCGAGACATGCTGTTGATACGCGTATTGAATGTTGGTCGCGCCAGTCATCTGCGCCCGCCCCCATCTCTGGCCTTCTTGACTTTTGTCTTGACACCGGGTGCCGGTGTGGGAGTGATGAGAGAGTGGGATAGATACTCCGCGAGTCTACCTTCACTATAATCTCGCGGGAGTCACCGCTTTGTTTCAATTCGTTGAAGCTCGTGGTGGACATCGTCGAAATCGACGGTCGAACTGTTGTGATTTTGTCTCTGATGACGAATCTGAGTGTGGATCCGAAAAATCGGACTAGTAAAACTGTCGTTGCAACGCCCATGTCTCCTTCCTCGCGTTTGCCGTTTGCTCGCCTACACGACACTCAAACGTACAAGTGGAAGGACAGTCCTCGCCAGATATGAGCTGGCTATGTAATGGTTAGGCATCAATTTTTTTCAGCCTAACACGTTTTAGGATAAGGGGTAATTAAATGCAATCGATGCCTATTAATTGGAACAGACTTTCGAACTAAAAGACAACAATTCATACGAGCAGGTTTTCCTACTTGGAACGGTGTAGTCATTGCACTGACGGCTTCAATAGCGCTAATCTATGATCTTCATTTAGACTCTTCTAGGTCCAGGAGTAACATACGGTTTTGCTTATGCTGTGCACAGCTTTCTTAAACTACTGAAAGCTTTTTTTATAAAGACCCGCCTTAATCTTCTCAAAGCTAGTGATAACTGATTGATTCACGATAGTGGCGGTTTCTATAGTGTTTTTAGGAGACATAAAGTAAAACAAGGGCTATTCAGCCATACATTAGCTAACCTTGGGCTTCTTGATAGACCTCTTGAAGGTGATCATGGCCAGCTGCGAATCCACGCAAGAGTGGAGGAAAAGCTTTTCGGTTGTTAGATTGAACTCATATCCTCTCAGATGGCAAGGGCTTGAAATAATTTCCTAAAAGAAAGTTAGGTGATTATGTATACATATTTACGGGTCCTGAAATTTGCAAGTTAAGATGTTGTAATATCTCTCCGATTTACCTTATGACATTTATGGTCACAGGCAAAGGAGTCAGGTTTACCAACTCAAGTAAACAGTGGAGGTCAAAATACATGTCACCCACAAGGTTTGAGTGATATCACGTTTCTGCGAAAGGCTCCCAGCATTACCGAAACAAGTGTTCTTTTAATTCGAGCTATACGTAGTTTTCTGTGGCTTTTGGGATCTAAATTAGTAAAATTAAAGTAATGAACTACTTCATACTCTAGTGCCTTTGTTTAGTCATGGAATTCAACAATTTTTCCAGAAGAAAAAAACTTCTCTACGCACGGTCGGACGCTCTTTTCCGTGCAAACTTTATCATCTGCTCTTGCCTTTCGCCACCCCTATCAGCTACTGTTTAATCATTACTTGTGAAGGATGTCAGTGCAAACTTTTTTGTTAAAATAAGACAGCCGGGCACAACTTGCAAGCAACGGGATGAAGTGATTTAAGTAAAATAAGAACGACTACCCTGTGATGTGCGCCAGAAGTTGCAACAGGTGTTTGGCTTTACGACTTACCTACCTTGTTTTAGGATTCACCAGTCTCGGTACTCTACTCGGTTTGACCCTGATAAGCAGAAGATCTCCCACCATGGTTTACTCCCATGTTTTTTTTAGCATATTTGATCTGCAGCGGACACCAGCACTTCGATTATTGGTATCTTTTGACTAATATGTTGGATTCTTCGTGGTATGATCGTTCGCATGGCGTGTGTTCGTCAGCATTGGGCAAATCAGGTCTGGACCTACGTTTCTTGTTAACATGTCAGTTAAAGGTTAGCAAGCTATCCGCGTTACGTCCACTCTTAGTCGTAGCAGAGACAAATGTCCGCGGTTGACGAGTACATCAGAATATCGGCAAAACACGTCTGTACACTCTATGTTGGACGGAAGTTAGATAGGATCAACGGTTATTACTTGCCGCTAGACTTTAATATTAGTGGAAGCCAATAGTGTTTCATATGATACGTATGCAAAATTCAGAGCCAAATTCAGATCCAAATCTGAAGAGCCTACTCTCAAGGTCTTTTCTTGGAGTTCCATCGGTAGTTTAAACACAGGAGTAAGTACGCTCTATTTCGGGGACACTGCACTAATTGCCTGAGTCGTTAAGTTTATTGAGTAGGCCTTTCTTGTGAGGCCACCTGGTGGAAATAGGCTTCCTTTATTAACCAATAGGCCACCTAGTAGTCAAGGTGGTTGCTCTAGTAGGTTTCGTGGTCTAGATGTTTCTTGCATTAACCAATAGGATTGCTCTAATAGTTTTTTGGTCTGCAGACTTCTTTTTCACAAACGATTTTACTCAAGCAACACAGTTACATGTGACTTCAATTTATTTACCGCTGTTCACTTACCGCGCATTAAACCTTTAACCACGAATTCCGTAAGACACTTGGGTGGGGAAATGTATTTTCAAGTGGTCGTTTATTGTTATTGCTAGCATTAGGATTAAGGTTAGACTTCAGTTTAAGGTGAGATCTAGAGTTTGGGTTAGGAT